ACGCAGTTCGGCATCCAGCGCGAGGCTCGTTTCTGCCACTTGTGGGCGGAGATTGGTCGCAGAATCCCTGGCGCAATCGCATTGATGTCGGAGAAGCACGTTCCGCTGCGGACCCGCCGCGGCGACTGCCTGGCGCAAGACATCCCAGACCTGGACGACGACCTCTTGGAGATGAATCCCTCCACCCCAGAGACCTGGGAGCTGCCGTACTTGCGAGGCCCCCGCAAGCTCACCCGCAAGCCCCCGAACGAGGCACAGGAGGCCCGAATGCGGATCAACCAGACTGCCAACAAGAGGGTGCTAGAAAAACGCGCTCAAGCACGCGACGCCCAAGAGCAAGGCTGCCCCCAATAGGTTTCCTGGCGTTACTTCCAAGGCAGCTGGCGCCCCGCCGGCGATCTGACGAACTGGAACAACGAGTTGCATCACGATTTCTCGAGTGAAGCATCTAGGTCTGATGCCGAAAATCCACAGAGAGAGTAAACGGTATTTCTGACAAGTTGGTGCTGTAGTCTTGTCGCTCATCCTTGGAGTTGTAGACTGTCGTGCTGTACTGACGCTTTCCAGTGTGAAGGCATGGGCCCCTGATCGCTTGAGGGATTTCCGCGCTACCTGTACATGTATGTTTTTAGCCCGGCCGGCTTCTTTTTTGCGGGTGCACTTCAGATTCCTTTTCTCGTCGTCCTCTCCCCCCTCTGCTGTGCCACCCAACAAACAACGGGAGCGAATCTCCCTGCGCAGCCGCCATAGGCCCGCGGCGCGGCAAGGCGGCGCGCGGGAGGGATTGCCGCGCCCCGTGCGCGGCTCAAGCCCCCGCGCGTTTCCCGCACTCCCCCTCCCCCCTCCCCCCCCCCCCCCCCCTCCCCCTCCGTCCTCCTCCTCTTCCGCTCCTCCTCCTCCTCCTCCTCCTCCTCCTCCTCCTCCTCCTCCTCCTCCTTCTCCCCTCCTCCTCTCCTCCCTCCTCCCCTCCCCTCCTCCCCTCCTCCTCCCCGCCTCCTCCTCCTCCTACTCCTCCTGCCTGCTCTCCTCTCCTCCTCCTCTTCCTCCTCTCCTCCTCCTCCTCCTCCTCCCTCTCCTCCTCCTCCTCCTCCTCCTCCTCCTCCTCCTCCTCCTCCTCCTCCTCTCTCCTCCTCCTCCTCCTCCCTCCTCCTCCTCCTCCTCCTCCTCTCCTCCTCCTCCCTCTCCTCCCCCTCCTCCTCCTCCTCCTCCTCCTCCTCCTCCTCCTCCTCCTCCTCCTCCTCCTCCTCCTCCTCCTCCTCCTCCGCCTCCTCCTGCTCTCCTCCTCCTCCTCCTCCCCCTCCTCCTCCTCCTCCCTCCTCCTCCTCCTCCTCCCCTCCTCCTCTCCTCCTCCCCTCCTCCTCCTCCTCCTCCTCCTCCTCCTCCTCTCCTCCTCCTCCTCCTCCTCCTCCTCCTCCTCCTCCTCCTCCTCCTCCTCCTCCTCCTCCTCCTCCTCTTCCTCCTCCTCCTCCTCCTCCTCCTCCTCCTCCTCTCCTCCTCCTCCTCCTCCTCCTCCTCCTCCTCCTCTCCTCCGCCTCCTCCTCCTCCTCCTCCTCCTCCCCACCTCCCCTTTCACAATTGCTCAATATGAATACTACTCTCCCTCTTCCCCTGATGACGGCCTGGGAGTGTCCGCCCCCCCCGCGTACTGTTTTTTACACAGGTTTCCCCGGAATTGGGTTTTCGCATGCATGTTTTCCAAAATGCTGCTCTCGCTGAGGCGCCAGCGTCATTTTCGGGCCCCGTTCGTTCCGAATCGTGCTCCCTCTGCAGCGCTGGCTTCATTTCCGTGCTTCCGCTCGTTCCGAATCGTGCTCCCGCTGCAGCGCTGGCTTCATTTCCGTGCTTCCGCTCGTTCCGAATCGTGCTCCCGCTGCAGCGCTGGCTTCATTTCCGCGTTTCCGCTCGTTTCGACTCGTGCTCCCGCTGCAGCGCTGGCGTCATTTCCCGTGCCATGCCACGGCGTGCAACGCAATGCGAGGTTGATACTACGCTTTGCGGTGCTCTTCTACGCCATGCCATGCCGTGCTCTACAATGCATCGCGTACCCTTTCGAGATCATTGCCTTGCTCGACATCCGATTGTGCGAGTAGAGAGGGGATTTGCGCCATGGTAAAGGATGGGAGGGAGGGGTAGGATGTCAGATATGACGCGAGCGCACCTAGCTTGCCGCTCCCCCACCCTCTCCCGCTCCTCCTCCTCCTCCTCCTCCTCTTCCTCCTCCTCCCTCCTCCTCCTCCTCCTCCTCCTCCTCCTCCTCCTCCTCCTCCTCCTCCTCCTTCCTCCTCATCCTTCTCCTCCTCCTCCTCCCTCCTCCTCCTCCTCCTCCTCCTCCTCCTCCTCCTTCTCCTCCTCCTCCTCCTTCTCCTCCTCCCCTCCTCCTCCTCCTCTTCCTCCTTCTCCTCCTCCTATTCCTCTCCTCCTCCCTCCTCCTCCTCCTCCTCCTCCTCTCTCCTCCTCCTCCTCCTCCGCCCCCTCCTCCTCCTCCTCCTCCATCCTCCTCCCCTCCTCCTCCTCCTCCCTCCTCCTCCTCCTCCTCCTCCCCCTCCGCCTCCTCCTCCTCCTCCTCCACCTCCTTCTCCTCCTCCTCCTCCTCCTCCTCCTCCGCCCCCTCCTCCTCCTCCTCCTCCTCCTCCTCCTCCTCCTCCTCCTCCCTCCTCCTCCCTCCTTCTCCTCCTCCTCCTCCTCCTCCTCCTTCTCCTCTTCCTCCTCCTCCTCCTCCTCCTCCTCCTCCTCCCCTCCTCCTCCTCCCCGTCCTCCTCCTTTTCCTCCTCCGCCTCCTCCTCCTCCCCCCCCCCTCCCCCTTCACAATTGCTCAATATGAATACTACTCTCCCTCTTCCCTGATGACGGCCTGGGAGTGTCCGCCCCCCCTCCCCCCGCGTACTGTTTTTTACACAGGTTTCCCCGGAATTGGGTTTTCGCCTGCATGTTTTCCAAAATGCTGCTCTCGCTGAGGCGCCAGCGTCATTTTCGGGCCCCGATCGTTCCGAATCGTGCTCACGCTGCAGCGCTGGCTTCATTTCCGGGCTTCCGCTCGTTCCGAATCGTGCTCCCGCTCGAGCGCTGGCTTCATTTCCGCGTTTCCGCTCGTTTCGACTCGTGCTCCCGCTGCAGCGCTGGCGTCATTTCCCGTGCCATGCCACGGCGTGCAACGCAATGCGAGGTTGATAGTTACGCTTTGCGGTGCTCTTCTACGCCATGCCACGCCGTGCTCTACAATGCATCGCGTACCCTTTCGAGATCATTGCCCTGCTCGACATCCGACCGTGCGAGTAGAGAGGGGATCTGCGCCATGGTAAGGGATGGGAGGGAGGGGTAGGATGTCAGATATGACGCGAGCGCACCTAGCTTGCCCCTCCCCCACCCTCTCCCGCTCCTCCTCCTCCTCCTCCTCCTCCTCCTCCTCCTCCTCCTCCTCCTCCTCCTCCTCCTCCTCCTCCTCCTCCTTCGCAGAGCCTTCCCTGCAGAACAAGGCTCGCGATGCAAAACTGGTATGGGGGAAGAGCCCCGGGGCCAGGACCCGCCTCTTTCGGGACCTCTTTCTCGTGCCGGTGGGAGAGCCGGTCTCGGCCAGATTTTGGTGGCCATGCGGGGCTGGGGACCTTGGCGCCCTCCGCCCGCGTCCCGCCGAGAGCGCCCGCCCGCGCACACGCGCGTTTTCCTTCGCGTGCCGGCGGCGCGCCAGGACTCGCAGCGCCTGGCGGTGAGAGACGTGCGGGGGCCTGGGGCAGAGGGCCCTGTCCATCGGCGGCACGTCGTCCAGAGCCTTCGCGAGGGCGCCATGTCGGTGCCCAGCGAGGTTCTGAGCCCCTCCTTCCTTCCTCAATTTCCCCGTCATCCCTTCGCAGTGGAGACGTTGGAACGGAGATCACAATGGTTTCCGCAGGGGCCCTGGGTCCTTCGGTACTTCCTGAGGTGTTTCCCTTAGATCTGAACGCGACCAGTACCGAAAAAGGACCTCGCTCATTATTCGAAGGCTCCTTCTGGCAAGACCTTTAACTGTATACACCGTCCGGCTTCCCCTCCTCCTCTCCTTCCCTCCCCTCCCAAACCGTGCCTGCAAGCTCATACGCTGTCGGTGGTTGCAGCCTCGTGGCTCCCCTTTGGCGATGGGCGGCTATCAGCAAGGGCACTGACCATTGCGTGCGGAATCAAGGGAGGAAAACCGCCCAGACCCGATAATTGGTTCTTACGAAACGGCCCTGGGCGCTGCCTGAGCAGCCCTGCCCTGCTTGGTTCCTCCTCTTCGGGTGCGCTTACGAAACGCCTTCGCGTGTCGGGGTGCTTCTCATGAGGGTGGATGTTTTTCACCACGCACCAAGCCACCCCAGCCCAACCCGAAGGCTCAGATCTACCCTCGATTTCCAGTGGGGGGGGGGGTCGGGAAACATCCAAAAAACGCATGTGGAACCATGAACCCCCCCAACCCGAAATTCGGGTCTTCGGGTGGGGTTGGGGTGGTCTGGTAGGTAGTCAGTTCTGCTCTCTGCGGACCTCCTTGCTGCCGGGCCGCTTGCCCAACACGTGGGCGCTGGCGGAGCTACCCCGCGGAGCTCCGCGGCCCTCAGCAGGCCGAGGCCGCGCTCGCTGGGGGCAGCGCGCCGGCCGCGTTCTCTGGGAGGAGAAGGAGGAGGAGGAGGAGGAGGAGGAGGAGGAGGAGGAGGAGGAGGAGGAGAGGAGGAGGAGGAGGAGAGAGAGGAGGAGGAGGAGGGAGGGGAGGAGGGGGAGGAGGAGGAGGAGGAGGAGGAGGAGGAAGGAGGAGGAAGGAGGAGGAGGAGAGCGAGGAGGAGGAGGAGGAGGAGAGAGGAGGAGAGGAGAGCGAGGAGGAGGAGAGAGGAGGAGGAGGAGGAGGAGGAGAGGAGGAGCAGGAGGAGCAGGAGGACGGGGAGCAGGCGGAGGAGGAGAGGGAGGAATTGAGCCAGGGCGGGGAGAGGAGGAGGGAGGAGGAGGGAGGCCTCCCCAGACGCTTGCCAGCGTCGGCCATGCCGGGCCCGCGCCAGGCTGCACCTGAGCATGGTGCCCCGCGTGTCCGAGGACTGCGTCGCGCAGATGCGCGAGCGCTTCCCCCGCTGCGCCTTCTTCCAGCACTCGAGGGCCCCCGCGCGTCCTGGACGGGCGGGCGGCCAGAGCGGCGCGCGCCGGCGACGACGGTGACGACGGAGACGAGGCGCAGGTACGAGCCGGCAAGCAAGGGTACTTCTATGCTTACGGCGGGCCTGTCCCTCTACAGGGGGAAGATTCAAAAATAGCAAAAAATAGTCCAGGGACTATTTTTTGAGTTTTTTTTATCATTTTGGAGTAGTGCTTGAGTATATGTTTTATGTTTCGTCGAAAATCCCCCTGTAGAGGGGGACACGCCCGACTTAATTCTGTGCCTCTCAGATGGGGTCGTGGAGTAGATGGGCCGGAGGCTCGCGCCGCATCGCCGAGGCATCGCCGATGCGGCTCGGTGTGGAGCCCGGTTTCCTCCACGCCGGCGTCGCCCGGGCATCGCCGACGTCGCCGATGCACCGGCGCTGCGGCGTGATCCGTCGAGACCAAACCTGCTACGACTGCATCTGGGAGGCTGCTAAGATCGCGGCCAGGAACGGCGGCGTGTCGCTCCGCCAGCTCTGTCCCGCCACGCCTGCGCGCGACACGCCAGCCACTCCCCGGACCCCCAGCGTCAGTGTCCCGAGCTGTTCCCCGCCTCCCGGCCCCTGGGAGCGGAGCAGCACGCTGTCCGCGCACAGGGCAGAGCGTGTCGTTGGGGCCGCCGCCGCGACGCGCTGAGCAAAAGCTCCGGACCTTGGGAGCTCTAGGGGTTCAGGCCGGCGTGAAGCGGAGTGCCCCAGACTGGGAGGCTGGTTTCGGTTTCGGTGCGTGATGTGCGGGCGGGCGCGGCGACTTCGCGCGGGTGCGAGGGAGATCCTCCCCCGGGTGATTCAGAGGCCTGTCCCATGGGAAGTCAGAGAGAACGAGAGAGAGAGAGAGGAGATAGACAGAGAAAAAAACAGACAGACGGACAGACAGACAGAGAGATTGAGACAGATAGTAAGCCAAAATAACAGAAAGTGAGAGAGAGAGAGAGAGATGGAGAGAGACACCTTGCACGCAGGAGTGGCATATGTTGCGTCCTCTCCGCACGCAGTGTCTTGCCTGATGGAGGCACCCGTAGGCACGGCATCACAGCAAGCGTTGTGGGGTCCACCCGGCCAGGTTTAGTAAGGCTTGGCGGTGGGAGTCGCAACTATCCCACGCCTTTGGCGAGGCCGAGCGCGAGGACCCAATTCCACAATGCTGGGTGTATGACCCTTCGGTATTCTCTTTTTTATCGTCGTAGGTTTTGCTTGTTGTTATTTCCCCCTTCGCGTCCTCACGTTCCTATTCGCGCTACAACAACAGCAATTCCTGCGCTCAAAAGAGGGCCCACTGGCGAAGCGCTGAAGAGGCTTCCGCTGGGGCCTGCATGGTCAGGTCCTCATCTCCCGTTCCCTTCTGCTCTGCTCTCGCCCGCCGTGCCGCTCCTTCTCGCGTCCGCCTGCTCTGCTTCTTCCTCTCTCTCGCTCGCTCTCCCTTGCTGCTCTCTTGCTGCTCTCTTGCTCGCTCTTCTTGCTGCTCTATTGCTCGCTCTGCTCTCTCGCTCGCTCTCTCCTTGCTGCTCTCTTGCTCGGTGTTCTCTGTCGCTCCTCTCCCCCCCCCCGCCGCCTGCTTCCTTCTCCTGCCGCTGCTGCTGCTGTCCACGCCTTGCAGTGGGCGCTCTGGTCATGCTTCCAGGGGGTGTGAGCGGTGTCTGGTCTGACGAGTCGTGTTTGAGGGGTGCTCCCCTCGATGGGGGTCATCACAACAGCTGAACAGAACAGAACAGAGAGAGAGAGAGAACGAGATAGAGATAGACAGACAGACAGACAGACAGACAGACAGACAGACAGACAGACGGACAGACAGACAGACAGAGAGACAGACAGACAGACAGACAGAGCGAGAGAGACAGAGAGAGAGAAGGACAGCGAGAGAGAGAGAGAGAGCGAGCAAAACCAATGTATATGTGGACAGAGAGGGCGAGGGAGAGGGAGAGGTGCAGGGGGAGGATGGGGGGACAGCAGAAAAGACACGGGGCACTGCGGACTCGCCGCCCCGAGCCGGCGCGAGCCGCGCGCCCGACACGTCCCACCCCCGTCCGCCCGCGCGCCCCCCTCTGACCTGGCAGAACGCGCTGGTTGCGACCCCTCTGCCCCAAGAAGCGGCCACCCCGGGCCCTGGCGAAGACGTCCAGGCGGAGACTCGGACGCTTCGTGATTCGGCGACGAGCCCTGGGGGGGAAGTGAGAAGGGGCGGGCCCACTCAGAAGGCTCGGAAGTCCACCGGCCTTCTGAGAAGTTTTTGGGGCCTGCCCCGAAGACACAGAAAATCTCTCGGAAGGCCGGAGGACTTCGAGGAGCTCCGCCGCCTTCTTCTCCCTCTCACTTCCCCCCTCCTCGCTCGCCGCCGAGTAATGGGGGCGCGAGGAGGAAAGGGGAGGGGGGGCCCAAGAGGAGGGCAAGGACTAGGGGGGGGGGGGGCAGCACGGCATGGGCCATGAGATCTTCCTGGACGCCATGGCCGCCCTCGCTCTTGTTTCGGTGCCTCCTCCTCCTCCTCCTCCGCCTCCTCCTCCTCCTCCTCCTCCTCCTCCTCCCTCACGTGGCCTGGGCTGGTCCAAGAGATGAGAGCTTTGCCACCGAACCAGAGGACACGGCATATTCGTGGCCCTCAAGGAGCAGTGATCTGTTATCTGCTGCAGGCTGGATGGCGACCAGATTCACCGACGAGCTGGACCACACCGACGGCGGACGACGGTCAAGAGCACACATGGCAGTTCTCGGCTGACAATCTCACGGGCATTGAGCATTTAGACGTACCCAGTGCCTTTTTCGACGAGTATGAGCGTACAGTGCAGAACGATATGTGGACACGTGCAGCTCAACATTATGAAGGAGCAGGACTCGAAGGTGGGGTCTGCAATCAGTCATACCGTCGTTTACTACAGCACCTTGAGGGAGCTCTTGGTGGACGACGACTTGCAGGCCTTCTGCTTGCGATTGCCGTCGGGGCCACGTGGCCCCGCACACGGCGACAGGAGCGGGCTAAGCAGGAGATGTCTCAGGATTGCCTTCGTTGTCGTGGTCATCGTGAGACTGCTTTTCATCGCGTGTGGGCCTGCGAAGGCCGATGCAAGCATGACATATATCAGCTCACGGAAAAGTATGTTGGAGAAGCCTACACTCAGGGGGAAGCTGACGCCTGCTTCTGGACCAGAGGCCTCATCCCAGCTGCTTGGCTTTCTGTGGAGGCCCACCAGAAGCACGAGAGGTGGAGTACCACTGGCGAGGACTTCGTCGATGGGTGCTTTGGCGAGGGCACGCGCGAGAAGCCTCTCTACATCTTCGGCGACGCCAGCGGTGGCCGCGAGAGTCGTGACCCACGGCTTCGGCGAGTAGGATGTGGACTGGCTTGCCTGCACGACCTCACCGACGACATGGAGTTGTTCCTTGGGGTGTGGGGAGGCCTGCCAGGCCCTCGGCAGACTGTGCCAAGGGGAGAGCTTCTCGCCTTCTACTTGGCCCTTAGGGGCAGTCGTGGGCACCTCATCTACACGACTGACAATGAAAGTGTGATCATCGGTTGGTACAATCATCGATATCGGAGCCCAGAGGGACCAGATAGCGATTTGTGGTGGCAGATTGGAGTTCATCTCGACCAGCACCCTGGTCTTCAGTGCACGATGCTCTTCGTCCACTCACACCTCGAGGCCGCCGACGTGCTGCAGGGCAAGGCACCTCGCCTGCTGGTGGAGGGCAATGCTATGGCTGACGCCTTCGCCGCGCTCGGAGCTGATGGTACAAGAGTGCCTGAAACGAGTCGTGCCCGTGTCCAGGCCACTGAACATAAAGCCCTTCCGGTTAGGATGAGGATTCTCCAGAGCACTCCTGAGACGTTAGCAGTTGAGCAGGAGCACGAGAAGAGCCTCGGTAGGAAAGCTGCCCGCCGTGTCCAGCCTAGGCCTCCTGCCCCCTCTGTCTGCGCAATGTTCTCGTCTCAGCATGTCTTGTGTGATTCGAATGCCACTAAGTGTAGCAGGTGTAAGGGCACAGCCACTAAAGCGAAGCGTAAGGACTGGCTAACCTCCCCTTGTTTTGACTTAAGTAGTGTGGATGGGAGTTTGCTCGATCCCCCCCCTGGGCGGCGGGTGCACATTACGGGGGGGGTTCCCGATCCGACACATAATTTGAGGCATCACGCGGGATTGGGAGTCTGGTTCTGTTCAGCGTGCGGGTTCTATGCAGCTCAGCAGCTTAAGGAACTAGCAAAGCCGTGTGTAGGGCGTGCTGAAGGCAATCGCACCGATTACCTTGATCGGATTTCGCGTGGAATTTGGCCTAAAGCTTACAGCAGAGCTGAGCTAGCCAAGAAGCAGAAATCTGTCGGTTAATTGTTTGTCCCCGACCTAGTCGCTATATCCAGAACTCCAGAACTCCTCCTACTCCTCCTCCTCCTCCTCCTCCTCCTCCTCCTCCTCCTCCTCCTCCTCCTCCTCCTCCTCCTCCGCCTCCGTCCCACGGTCCCCCCATCGTCCGCGTACGTGCCTCGGGCCATGGTTTGCGAGCCCTCCTCTCGGACGCTTCTATAGATAAAAGGGGGGGGGCGAGATCGAGGGCTGCAGGACAGGGGCCCCGGGGGGCGCCACCTCTGGGGCCCCGAAGGTGCACGAGAGGTGCACGTATTTCGTGCAAGTCGTCGTTGTCCTCGTCCTCCTCGTCCTCGTCCTCCTCCTGCTCGTCTCCGTCGTCATCGTCATCGTTTTCCTCCTCCTCCTCCTCCTCCTCCTCCTCCTCCTCCTCCTCCTCCTCCTCCTTCTCCTCGTCCTTCTCCTCCTCCTCCTACACTTCCGCCTCCTGATCCTCCTCCTCTTCTTCCTCCTTCTCCTCCTCCTCGTCCTCCTCCTCCCACTCCTCGACATCGTCCTCCTCGTCCTCGTCCTCCTCCTCCTCGTCGTCGGCCTCCTCCTCCTTCTCCTCCTCCTCCTCCTCCTCCTCCTCCTCCTCCTTCTCCTCCTCATCCTCACCTTCTCCTCCTCCTCCTCATCATCATCCTCCTCCTTCTCCTCCTCATCCTCCTTCTCCTTCTCCTGTTCCTCCTCCTCCTCCTTTTCCTCCTCCTCCTCCTCCTCCTTCTCCTCCGCCGCCTCCGCCTCATCCTCCTCCTTCCCTTCGCTTCCCTGCCCTTCCCTTTCCTTCCCGTCCCTTCCCTTCCTCCTCATCATCAGCAGCATCACCAGCAGCAGCATCATCGTCATCATCAGCAACAGCATCATCATTTGATTCATCATCCTTATCCCCCTCCTCCTTCTCGTCCTCCTCCTCCTCCTCCTCCTCCTCCGCCTCCTCTTCCTGCTCCTCCTCCCCCTCCTCCTCTTCCTCCTCCTCCTCTTCCGCCTCCTCCTTCTTCTCCTCCTCCTCGTCCTCCTCCATTCCTTCTCCTTATAGATAGCCCCTCTCTGACGCGCCCCCACACGTGTCGGTAGGGCAGGCCGGGCGTTTCGCTTGAGACTCCTTCGCCAGTTACGATCTTGAAGGTTGACAAGTGCAGCAACTTCACGGATGGAGGGCGGGCCGTTTTCAAGATGAGGTTTTCAAAATGCGGTTTTCAAAAGTTTGCAACCGTTCCCTTGATGGCGGGCGGGCCGTTTTCAAAATGCGATGTTCGCCATAGAGCCACGCACTATCTTGTTCTTTCTCTCTCTCTCTTTCTCTCCTACTCTTTCTCTCTCTCTCTCTCTCTCACGCTCTCTATATATGTGTACTCTTGCTATCTCTCTCTCTCTCTCTCTCGCGCCCCCTCTCTCTCGATCTCTTTCTATGGATATGCATATGTGTTCATGTGTATATCTATACACATGCATACATATATTTATATATACACTGTATGTATAGTCTCTCGTTCACGCCCGACAGCCCACGTTCGTGCCTCAAGAACCGCCAGGCAAGCGAATTTGCGAAAACGTCATCCTCGCTGGCAGATTCGATTCTCGTTTGCATTCCTAGTCCTTGCCATCCCTGACCAGATTTCCGAGTTTATAGTTTGACGGCTCGGGACTTGGCTCCCAGGTGTGCAAGCAAGTGCCGCCATTTGTGCTCATTGCGGAGCGATGGAAACGCCTCCACTCGGCATTACATCGGCGCTACGAAAGTGTTGACCTGTTGCGTGCTTACACTGAGACAAGTCGTATGCGGGAGCGCCATTTCGACATCGAGCTGAAGAAGTGCCGACTTCTATTTTAGATGTAGTCCTGGGCGGGAACGCCATTTCGAAATCGAACCAGAAGGGTGTCGAATTCCAGTTATCAGGAAGTCCTGGGCGGGAACGCCATTCCGGAATGAAACCCGAAAGGCTCCGAATTGTGGTTCGGAGGGAGTTCAAGACGGGAGAGCCATTTCGAAATCGAACCAGAAAGGTTTCGAATTCCAGTTTTGATGAAATCCTGGGCGGGAGCGCCATTTCGAAATCGATCCCGAAAGGTTCAAAATCGTTCGTGTTTGTTTGAAGAAATCTCAAGCGAAACCGTCGTTTCGAAATGGTCACACCGTTTGGCATTTTGTAATTTTCAGTTCCAGACCAGAAAATTCGAAAGTGTGGTTTTTGTCACTGGAGGCCTCCTCCAAAAAACGATCTCGACTGGATTTCGAAACCATCGGGTTCGAATTCGAAAGGGCGGCTCCGGGGCCCCGTCGCCCAACGTGATGCGCCGCACTGTGGCCGAACTCCGCAGCGGCGAAGTAAGCGGACAACCTTCCTCCCGCGGGTGGCCACGCACCAAGACCCGTGCGGGAGCGTGGGTACCTAGCGACCGCGTGACGGTGTCTCCGCAGTCACGCTGCCGTCTTGGCTGCTGGGCCCGAGACGCCGTCGGCCACTCTATTTGTTGTGAGCCCTTCTGGAAGGCTGCCGAGCTCTGACCCGCGGTCTCTCCCCCGGACCCGTGAATGTGTCTTGGGCTGGGGGGGGGAGTCCGACTTCGAGGGGCCAGAGAACGGACGCCTGAGGGCGCACAGACGGCTCATTTTCGCGTTCCATATATATATATATATATATATATACATAGATATACACACACCATAAGTGCAAGCCTACTCTTGCACCGCATGAGCAGGCTTCTCCTTAGTTGATTGCTACTGCGCGGCAAGCTGCAAGAGCAGCCCTCCACATATGCTAGCACGAATACCGGTCGCCAAGGGTACGTGCGCTTCTCCTCCTCCTCCCCCCCCTCCTCCTCCTCCTCCTCCTCCTCCTCCTCCTCCTCCTCCTCCTCCTCCTCCTCCTCCTCCTCCTCCTCCTCAGGTGGCCCAGGAGGGGGAAACGTCGGCCACAGCCGTTCCAGGCGCGGCAACACGGGGCCACCGTGCCCTACAGGGTCGTGGCACCAGGTAGCTGGGCCTACCAGCGGGGCTAAGGCGCCCCGAAGCCATATCACTTCAAGTCCTTCTCCTCCTCCTCCTCCTCCTCCTCCTCCTCCTCCTCCTCCCCCTCCTCCTTCCTCCTCCTCCTCAGCACCCTCGCCGTCCCCCCCCCCTCGGTGGACCCCCTCTCCTCCGTCCCCCTTCCCTCCTCCCCCCCCCATCCCTCCTTCCACCCCCCTCGGGGGTGCACAGAGGTACCGATACCGCTGCTCCCGGACCCCTCCCTGGGCGCGTCTTGACCAGCAAATTCGAGGAGAACCCAGCCGTGGCGACGAGAGCTTGCCAGGACGAGCAGCGGCATCCGCGCCTCAAGCAGTGGCGAAGCGTCCTGGCCTGCCTATAGGCCCGCCAAAGAATGTTCTAAGAGCCTTTTGTGGTTTGCGCGACATTGTCTCAGAACCCTTCTGGCAGGCATTGTCTTCGGTCAGAGCATCGGCTTCCCGTTCTGCGAGCCTCGTCCTTGCCACTCGAACACCTTCTTGGCTCCAAGAGCATGTCGCGGCAGGCCTCTGGGAATGCTGGGACGGTCGGCCCCTGCTCGGGTACCACCTCCTCCTCTTGGCAGCGCGCACAAACGGGTGGGGGGAGGGAGGAGGGCTTCTTAGAAGGAGGCTGCTTCTTAGAAGGCGCTGGCCTTACATCTATAGAGAAAGGCCCGCGCCTTCTAAGAAGCAGGGGTGCTTCTAAGAAGCCCCCCCCCTCCCCCCACCCCCCTCTGCGCGCGGCCAATCCTCCCCCCCGTGCCCCGGCCCCCTCGGTGAGCCCCCCCCCCCCCGCGGGTGGAGGGCAGGACACCCCGGCGAGCCGTTCGCCAAGCGCCCCCCGCCCCCGAAGGGCGGCAGGGGGGCCGCGCGGCCCGGCTCGTCGGGAAGCCGCGCCGCCCGCGGAGCGCCGGGCGCTCGGGCCGCGCACGGAGGGGGGCGGGGAGTCTGAGGAGGCGGGGGTCCGTGCAAGCGGGGGTCGGCCAGAGCGTCGGGTACCATCATCATCATCATCATCATCATCATCATCATCATCATCATCATCATCATCATCATCATCATCATCATCATCATCATCATCATCATCATCAACTCTACGTGCTCCAGGTTCGCCTTCAGCCGCCTCGAATCGAATCATCATCATCATCATCATCATCATCATCATCATCATCAGCATCATCATCATCATCATCATCATCATCATCATCATCACCAGCAGCAGCAGCCGCATCGGCATCAGCATCAGGATCATCATCATTATCATCATCAGCATCAGCATCAGCATCATCAGCATCAGCATCAGCATCATCATCATCATCATCACCATCGTCATCATCGCCATCGTCATCATCAACAGCAACAGCTGCATCCTCATCATCCTTATCAACAGCAGCAGCAGGATTATCATCATCAGCATCATCAGCATCATCATCCTCGTCATCATCATCATCATCATCATCATCATCATCATCATCATCATCATCATCATCACTGCCACCACCAGCATCATCATCATCAGCATCAACATCATCAACAGCATCACCATCTTCATCAACAACAGCATCATCACCATCATCATCAACATCACCAGCAGCAGCAGCACCATCATCATCATCATCATCATCATCATCATCATCATCATCATCATCATCATCAGCAGCAGCAGCAGCAGCAGCAGCAGCAGCAGCAGCAGCATCGTCATCGATCCTGCAGTGCAGACGGGGGTCGGCCAGAGCGCCCCGTCTTGCAGGATCCTGCAAACTCTGACCCTCTCGAGTCATGAAGAAAACACAACGGGGGGCGGGTCGCTATTTTCGGCCTCTGGGGCCCTCACCAGGCCTCGGGGCCGTCAAAGAACGACTCAGGATGAAAAACTGGTCCCCAGGAATGGGTCGAGACTTCGTGGGGTCGATGTCATGAAAAAAACATGACGTCGGGGGTCTGGGAAGCCAGGGCCGCACTCACCTGGGCTGGCGCGCAGGATCCCTGGAGGACCCTGGAGGAGCGTGCAAGGCCTTGCTGCCCCGAGGTTGCAGTGGAACCCCGGGGCCAGCAGAAGCCCAGAGGGGTCGGGGCCCCGAAGGCCAGGACACTGCAAGGCCGGGAGGTTGTCGTGGGTCCACCCCGGGGGGCGCTCCGAAGGGGGCGGCCCCGCTGCCGCGGGCCGAGGGAGTGGGCACCGCTGCCTCGGCGCAGGGCGGCGGAAGCAGAGCGGGGGCGGCCGCCCCGGGCGCAAGCGAGGCCAGCCCCCGCAAGAGAGAGGCCAGCCCGTGCCTGGCGCAGGCGGCACGCCCTCCTCTCGGCGGCGCCCCGTGAGGGCCTGCACGACCTGGGCGGCTCTGCAGCTTTCCCCCTTTCTTCTCCCAAAATATGCGCTGTAAAAGTGAATAATGATAATGATCAGATTTTAAAATTACCAAGTATATATATTGTTTTCTTTGATTATATATACACACACATTTAGAGAGCCAAAAAAAACGATCTGAGCGGCTCTCTCCTCGCCTCTAGCCGCTCGACCGGGCGCCCGACCGCTTCCGCACCGGGGGCGCCCACGGGCTCAAGAACACACGTGCTGTTCCTGCTGGGGGGCGGGGGTTCGTCGGGTGCGCCAGCGTCCCGGCTCGCCAGGGTCCCCACCGGCGGGGCCTTGATTTTTCGGGGGCGGAAAAGAGGGGGGTGATGACTAGGGGGGGTGGATATCATGGCGGGGGCCATGGTATTTCCCCAGATTTCATGGCGCCTCTTCTGATTTCATTACGTCCCTGCCCCCCCCGCTGGGCCGCGCACATGCCGCCGGTCATGATTTGCATCCCCCCCCCTCTTGGACACCCCCCTCTTGGCCGCTCCCGAAATTTTGGGGGTGAGCAGCAATCGAAAGTAATGATGCACACATGACTTTCATATGAGCCTAGACAGATATCGACGGTAATTCGGAGCATCTTGAAGCAAGGTAGAGTTCACGACGAAACGAGGGGTGCGGTGTCAAGGGGTGCGGTGCCAGCGCTGGCAGTGGCAACGTCATCGACGACATCCGCAAGTGCCGTACGTGCGGGTGTCAACCACGCCGGCTTCGCGACGGCCGCAGCACACAGCGCCAGACCCGATGCCACCGCTCTCGAACGGCCGCAATCCAATTTGAACAAAGACGCACGTGCCAAGCCATCAACCGATCCCTCTAGAGGGGTCGCGGATCGAGGGCCGCCACGAGGCAGTCTTCGAGGGATTAGGGTTCGCGGGGGTCGAGGTTCGAGGAGGTGTGCGTTGTGAGGCGTGCGTTCTGCCTTGCTGGGCTCCCCGGAAGGCTCCTCGTCGCCGGGGCCGACTCGTCTCCTCGGACTTCGGGTCGAAGCGCACCTCTGGAGAGAGCCCCGGGGGGGAAGTGTTGACCGCCGCCCTGAAGGGAGGTGTCCTGAGGGAAGGGGTCGACTACACGCAAGAGTGGCCTTTCGCCGGAGAGACCTGGTGCGGGCCCCATGGGGTCCCCCGATCGCCTAACGCGCAGCGGTAGTAGCGTGGACAGCCGCCCTGGAGGAAGGTGTCCGGGTGTTGCCAAAGGTGACCCTGGCCCGAGGTACCCCCAGCTGCTCGCTCAATCTTGAAGCCTCTGGGACCCTCTGAGCCTCGTGATGGGGTGCTCTGGAGGCCGTGGGGGCCTCCTTGGAAGAAATCCTGGGGGCACCTTGTGCCAGGGGCACTTCTAGCAACACCCGAGGTGTCCTGAGGGAAAGGGGACCTCAGGTGTTCTGCCGTTTCCGGGCCTCCCCAGGCCATCAGGAGCGGCCCCAGAGGAAGAGCTGTTCCCGGGAAAAAAGAATCTTGGGAACCAGAGCCCGCTTCCCTCAGGGCCCGTGTCCTTCATGCCAAGATCGGGGATCGGGGGAGCATCGAAGGATCGAGGGGGATCGAAGATCGAGCCAGGATCGGGGATCCAGGGAGGATCGAGGATGGAGGATCGAGGGAGAATCGGGGACCGAGGAGTGTCGAGAAACGAGGAGGGTTGTTGCTTGAGGATGTCGACGGTTGCGCAGTTCGCGGCCCCAAGGAAGGGCGAGGTCTAGCTTGGATACCCGTAAAACCGCACTCGGCTGGACCTCTCAGGCGCTCCGGAAAGTGGCGACAGTTGCGAAGTTGGTAGCTCCCAAGGATGGCGAGGTCTAGCTTGGATGCCTTTGGCGCCGCGCTCTGCTGGACCCCCCGCAAGCTCGTGAACTTGTCAACCGTTGCGCAGTAAGCAGCACCCAGGAAGGGCATTCTGCTGGATCTCGCAGGAGCCCCCGAAAGCAGCGACGGTTGCGCAGCTGCCAGCGCGCTGAGAGGCGAGGTCTAGCTTGGATCACTTGAAGGCGTCTCTCCGCTGGACCTCCGAGGAGCTCCCAGAAGTGGCGACAGCTGCGCGGCTAGCAGCTCCCAAGGAGGCGACGTCTTGTCAGGGTGCCCGTAGGACCCTACTTCGCTGGACTTCCCAGGAGCTCAGGAAAGTGGATGCAGTGGCGCAGTTGGCAGCCCCCAGGAAGGTCGAGCTCTAGCTTTAATTTGCCCAGGACCGCACTCCGCTTCACATCCCAGGAGCCCAAGAAAAGTGTCGGCAGTTGCGCACCTGGCAGCCTCCAGGGAGGCGGGGAGACATGGCAAGAGGTAATTCGGAGGCAGAAGGAGAAGAGGGAGGCGGGAGGACAGGACAAGGTGGGAGCACCAACAGAAAGGAGGAATTGGGAGGAAAGGTCCAGGATGAACAATTCACGGCTGAGGCCCGCGGGGTCCGGGACCCGATTCTTGCAGGGCATACTTCTTCACGGCAAGAGTTCGTTCAAAGGATGGACACAGGCGTTGGCGGCGGGCGGGTATATGTGATTCTTGTGTTAAAGCAGTTGCAGTTGGGCCGATTCTTACGGATCCTTCCCTCCACGTTCCGGCCAAGCGTCTCCTCAGCGGCTGTCCCAGAAATTGGCAGGGTTGCGCGCGCAAAGTTAGCCCAGCGTCTGCGCAAGATTTGACTGGAGAGTTGACCCAGTTTTCTTCATCATCGTCATCAGCAGCAGCAGCACTATCATAATCATCATCATCATCAGCAGCAGCAGCAGCAGCATCAGCAGCATCATCATGGTTGTATGGGTTTTGAATTATCGCACACACACACCGTCCCACATGCTTTGAAAAGGAAACAGCATCCCAGCAAGACGGCCCGTGCGGCCCCTCAGTTTCACCCACAATTGCAGGGGCGCCTTCACAACCTGAAGCTCCGGACCGAACTTGTCTTTCGACCAGCTTTGTCTTCCCACGATTGTTTTCCACGCCCTCGATTCGCTCCTGCTCTTCCTGTTCCGCGTCCCTCGTCCCCTGACTTTCCCCTTCTCATCCCTTGTCTCCACGGCTTGTTTCCCCGTCACATGCGCCTCATCTCTCCCGACTCCGCCCTCTGCTCTTCCGCACTGCCGCTGGCACGCCTCTCGTCGCGCTGGCACGGAACGGCCGCACACCTCGCGCCCACACTGAGAGAGATCTGCCGCCCACCGCTTCAGGCCTGCGCGGGGCAGGCAGCCGCTGCCGTAGCGAAGGACTTCGGGACGGAAGCGCCTCCTGGTCGCCGGCCGAGTCCCGACCCAACCCCCGCCCATTATTTCCGTTCGAAAAAACAGTTTTGAATATGGTTTCCGAGTCCTCTTTTCAACGAGGCAGCAATGTTCTGCGATCCGGCTCGACGCGATTCGAGTCGCGGACTGGGCTTGCGATGCCGACTCGGTTCGAGCTGGCTCGATGCACCGGCACCGGCCGGGGCCAGCCAGAGCCGGTCGCAGCGATGCAGTTTCAATTCGACCCGGGGCGGTGCGGAGGCTTTCCCATCCCTTCCCGAGGCGATCCGATTTCGCGGTTCGATGTGGCCCGGGCCTGCCATGGCGCTCTGTCAACCCCCCCCCTCCTCTTGGCCCCCTCCCCCCTCCTCTTTGGCCCCCC